GGCATACAAATCTAATAAACCAAACCAAACCAAACCAAACCAAAAGATCTGTGCATGGGACATTCAGTAGGTGGCCTTTACAGAGCAAAGCAAAAACTTTTCCTGATGATTGTTGGGTTGTGGGGATAGTTGGTTTTCTGAATAGCTTGGCAAACCACGCTGAGGAATGCAACTGTTAGCACAATGATCCTTAATGATTAATAAATGTGAGACATGAGATTTGGCACGTAGGCACATTACATCGCTTGCAGCAGGAAACCATGAGCTGTTCATTAACTGTCCACATTGATAACATAGCCATGAGCTTTGTCTAGTCAATCATTACAAGTGAACTTTGATCAATGAATCAGTTTCTGCCACACTAACAGTGTATGACAATAAAAGGGAGCTCCCACAAGCTGTTCGGGGTGCCTTCCCATTAACCTTCTTCCTGCCTGTCTGCATTTTTCTTCACCACAACAACACCTGGTGACCTTGACATGATAACCCCTGCACTCATTCAGCTGGATGAGCCCAGGTGCACCACAGTGAACTTCGCTCCCAAAAATACTTGAGTATGGGGGGGGACTGTCAGCTCCACAGAAGCGTCATGCAAAAGAGCTACAAAAAATATTTAAAAACAATGGAACAGCAAAAATTAGTTTAAGTGATTTAGAGCAGTTAGCAAATGAAATAGGTTGTCAAGGCCCATGGTATCCAGAAGCAGGAACCTTAGACTTGCAGGACTGGATAAAAATTGGAATACATTTGCATTCACCACCACGAGCACCAATACAACATTTGTTGCTGTGGCAAAAATGTAAAGAAGCAATTGAGGTTATGGGGACTCATAGACTTAAGGCACCGTCACCATTTCTCTCTTTGCTTCCTGAGGAGGGGTTTGCTCCCCCTCCGCCATATATGCAGCTGACTCTGCCGGCAGCAACTATGCTGAAGCCAGTGGAGCTTAGCTCCCCGACTGCTCCATTACTGATTGCTCTTTCACAGGAGCCATTTAGTGCAGTCAGAGCAGGGTTTCGGGAAGAGCAGCAAAAGGGAACCCTCACTGGGATAGAACTTGCAGAGGGTCTCCAAGCTTTTCCAGTCACACAGACAGTCAATCCACAAGGGCAAGCTCAATATCAATGGAATCCCTGCCATATCAAATTTTGAGAGAGCTGCAGAAAAGTATCACAGAGACAGGTTTGCATTCCACCTATTCTGTTGGAATGGTGGAAGGCATATCTAATGGTTATAACTTGATCCCACAAGATTGGAAGGATTTGTTTCGTATGCTTCTCACACCAGCACAATATATTGTTTGGAATGCAGAATACCAGACAGAAGCAATTCATGCAGGAAACAATTCAGGAGGTTTATATATACCAGACCAACTGTACGGAGTTGGTGCTTTTACTACAATACAGCAACAAGCCACAGGCACACCCCCGCCAGCCTACTCCGTGATAGGGCGTTGTGTGATCAAAGCATTTAAGAGAGTGCCAGTTTCAGGCAAACCTAGCAAGTCTTTTGCAGCAATTCGGCAGAATGCTGGTGAAACATATTCTGATTTTATTGATAGATTGCAAGAAGCTATTCAGCGGCAAGTAGATAATGAGGAAGCTAGCGGAGAATTAATGAAAAGGCTAGCCTACGAACATGCTAATGCTGATTGCCACTGCGCATTGCAATCTATTGTTAATAGAGGAGATTACACCTTGGCTGACATGTTGAAAGCATGCGCTGATATAGACACAAATGTTCATCAAATGGATGCTTTAACAGCTGCCTTACAAAAAGGAAAGTTTGGCAAGCCCAAAGGTAACTGTTTTAATTGTAACAAACCTGGCCATTTTAAACAGCAGTGCAGAGCCCCTGGTGTTGGAGCTCACAAAGGCAATGGGCCAGGAGGAGGTCCAGTAACTACACCAAAAACTGTTTGCCCTAAATGTAAGAAGGGATTTCACTAGGCTAATCAGTGCAGAAGTCAGGGAAATAGTCAGGGAAACTAGAGTTCAGGCTCACGGCAAGCCCCGGCCCAATTGCTGCAACTACTATCAAAAATTCTAAAGGTAGAATGCTACGAGAGGTAGTGCAGGTATTGATTTGATTAATCAAGAAGATAAATTCATTCCTTTCCCTGGAGTTGTTACCTTAATGTCATCACAGTTGAAAGGACCATTACCTGATAACACTGTGGGATTGGTCCTCCCTCAATCCTCCGCAGGAACCAAGGGGATTTTTGTCATCCCTGGAGTCATTGACTCAGATTATGAAGGAATACTTATGATACAATTTGAAATAAATGTGCCCATGACTTTAAAACAAGGAGATTCTTGGGCACAATTGGTAATTGTTCCATATGTAGTACCAGCAGGAGGTAAGCAAATTAGTAGAGGAAGTGGAGGATTTGGTTCATCCTAGTATTATGGCAGTAAGACAATCAATTCGAGAAGAAAAACCAAAGCGTATATATTTGTTAAATGGCAGATCTTTTGAAGGAGTCCTCGATTCTGGTGCAGATGTCTCTGTTATAGCCACTGACAATTGGCCCACAGATTGGCCTACTACAAAATCACTGTATGGGGAGTTGGAGGACCCCAAGCAGCCCGATGCCGCACCAAATGGCTTACAGTAACAGCTCTTGATGGCAGATGCACAGCCCAGTTAAAGCCAGTTATACTCCCCATTCATGTAAACCTATGGGGAAGAGATTTGATGTTGCAATTTCCAGCAAAATTAACTATTAATGATTAATAGTTACTATATCTCAGCCTACTGCTCTCCCTTTAGTATGGCAATCTACTACACCTGTGTGGATTGAGCAATGGCCTTTAACGCAAGAGAAACTTATAGCCTTACATGAGTTAGTGAGAGAACAGCTAGCCGCTAACCACATTGAACCCACTACAAGTCCATTTAATACGCCAGTTTTTGTAATAAAGAAGAAATCTGGTAAATGGAGGCTTCTTCATGATCTCAGGGCCATTAATGCAATCCTACCACAAATGGGGCCACTACAATGTGGCACCCCAAATCCAAACATGATTCCTAGGGAATATCAAGTTATGATCATTGATTTAAAGGATTGTTTCTTTACCATTCCATTGTGCAAAAAGGATAAGTCTCTCTTTGCCTTCACAGTTCCAGTATTAAATGCTGAACAACCCACAGAAAGGTATCAATGGACTGTATTACCTCAAGGCATGTTAAATAGTCCTACTCTCTGTCAGCAATTTGTCGTGAGAGCTTTGAAACCTTTTAGGAAAAGGTATATACCTCAAGCACTGGTATATAATTATATGGATGATATCTTAGTTGCTGGACCGCAAATTCCTTCATATTAACTAGAACATCTAACACAAGATCTGGCTGCATATGGTTTGCAGATGGCACCAGAAAAAGTACAGCTACAAGAACCATTTATTTATTTAGGTCACAAGTTATTACAGACATATTCACACCCACAAATTCCTCAATTGAAGATNAGGGCAAAAAATGGGCCTCCCAGAAGTTCCAGAATTCCAGAAACAAGCCCATTTCTGGGCTCTGGAGGGCCTCTGTTTTTCCCCTCCCGGATGCTCAAGAAAAGCCTCCAGAGCCCAGGGAGGGTGAAAACATTCCCCCCTATCATGGTGCAGGAGGCCAACTAGGCCATGCCCACCATAGCTACACCCACCCAGCAACCGGGCAGAGAACCCATTGCTAAAATTTTTGAAGCTCATCCCTCTGGTTCTCATACATTGCTCACTAAGAATTTGATTGTGGAAGATCGCAAGTGCAATGAATAAATACCTAAAATGATAAATAGAACTTACACATTCAGGAGCAGTCAACCATTAAATAATATTTGCAGAAAGGAACAAGAGCTTTCTTTTTTTCCTCTCTTAGCCTTTACCCATGGAAGCATTCAGCAGGCTGCTATTGGATTAAGGGACTGAGGGGGCAGGGGATCAGATTTCCTTTTATTTATTCCAAGGTTCACCTGAGACACCTCTTTTGTTCTCTCTTTTCAAGCTTTTGAATCGATTTGATGGCTGGCCAGGATGTTGCTCTGCACATTTCTCCACGCCTGGGACAAAGACTCGTGATCCGCAACAGTTTTCTATATGGCAGGTGGGGAGCCGAGGAAAGGGCCTTGCCCTTTAACCCTTTCCAACCTGGAAGAACTTTGAGGTGAGTTGGCTTTGATTAAGCAAGGTGGGACATCAGCAGGGAGGCAATCAAAAAAGTTAATATGTCAGTCATAGTGATACGAATGATATCTCCCCCACCCCTGTTTTAACTGGTTCATGTAGATATCCCTGGGTTCCAGCAAAGAGTTTGGCTGGTTGGCCAATGAGAAAGTAGGGAGGCAATGAGGGTGTAGAGAAGGTCCAGCTGATCCCTTTCAGAGGTATAAGGCTTCATCTCCCATAATTCCCAGTTAGCACAGGAGAAGAGAATCCAGCTGCCTTCTGAAAAAGGACTTTTGGGTAATTCAGAATCCCATTTTTACCTCTCTCCTGGAAAATTGTCCTTTTATTGCCCTTAAGGCTTTGGGGGGAAATGAGAAAATGAAGTGGCAGCTGTGACTCCACAATGAAGCTCCATATCTTATGTATTGGTGGTACTTTTTGGGTTTGATGCAAGTTGTGAATGGTGTGGACTGCAGACCCCTTATCAGAGGACAAAAGGTAATCCAGATGTACTGATTTTCCACACTAACATCCTTCCTCTCTTCCCAGCTCTTGATCCACTGTGACAACCAGAAGTTCAAGGTTTATGCCAATGGCCAACACTTCTTCAACTATACATAAGATATGGAGCTTCATTGTGGAGGAGTCACAACTGCCACATCATTTTCTCCTCCCCCCACCAAAGCCTCAAGGACAATAAAAGGACAATTTTCCAGGAGAGAGGTAAAAATGGGATTCTGAATGACCCAAAGATCCTTTTTCAGAAGGCAGATGGATTCTCTTCTCCTGTGCTAACTGGGAATTATGGGAGATGAAGCCTTACACCTCTGGAAGGCATCAGCTGGACCTTTTCTACACCCTCATTACCTCCCTACTTTCTCATTGGCCAACCAGCCAAACTCTTCATTGGAACCCAGGGATGTCTACATGAGACAGTTAAAACATGAGGGGCAGATATCATTTGTATCACTATGACTGACATATTAACTTTTTTGATTGCCTCCCTGCTGAT